CCTCTGCGACTGTACCAGGTGCTGACACCCGCGTGTGGCTCCGAAGCCCTGATTGATTTGTGGAGCCCACCCCCAAACAGTCGGTTTCGTTCCGTACTCCTTGGGTCGGGGAAGAGACGCGGGGGGGTCCTGAGATTATGGGTGCGGTGGTAGGCGAATGCCCTTACCCCGTGTTACTTACTCCCCACGGCTGGGTTTCGAGAGCATCAGGGGCCCCCGCGAGGATACCTGAATGCAACTCGGCCCCCACCTCCCCTACACCCTTAATGGTGGAGTCTCGAGTGGACAGGGATCAGTCAGAGCCTCCAGCTAGTTTGGGGCGGAACCAGAGCCCTGGGTAGCGCGGTGACCCCCGAGTCTGGGCTCTCCGTCCCGGGCTCTCAGTCCCGGCACACTAGCCCCTGCGGGGCGGAGCCTGTGCGCCTCGGTGGCGGTGCCTTTGTCTGCCCCTGAGCCGACTCGGCCAGCTGCTCCTCGTGGACAGTCTGGGCCTCGGCGAGGCCCGCTGCGCTCGGACTGTCCCCAGCTGGAAGCCGGGCCATCTGAGCGGAAGAGCGGCCGCCGTGAGCTCGCGTGTTCACCGGCTCTGTGACCTCTCCTTCCCCGGTGCACATCCACGAGATCGGTTAGAATTATGCCTCCCAAAATGGATGGCGGGTAGGCGGGAGGAAGTGACACTCTGCAGAACAACTGTTTTCGCCGTCTGCCTTCTTTCCCCTAGGATAGTCCGAGACGCTACCTCCTGGGGCCTAGCGTGGAGACCACGCCCAGAGATGCTTGTTTACTTAGAACTCCGTGGAAGCCCAGCGTGGACGGGGGCTGGGAGAGGCTGCGGTGACCTGCTCCCTCAGCTCCAGATTCGGGACACTGGGCCCACAGGGCGGAGTATCCCTAGATGTTTGTTGCCGGGGAAACCCAGAGAGTGCTCTCTCAGGTGGTTGGGTGCACTGAACCCAGGGCGAATCTCACAACACCCACAAAAGGCTCCTGGGAGAAGAGGGCATGGGGAGTGCCTCACAGAGGTCTGTCTCGAGTTCTGAGCGGTTCCTGGGAGCCCCAGTGTTGGCTTCTACACATGGCTAGTATGTGTCTTGTCTCTCCTACAGAAGCAATGCCTCTTCAAATTTACACAGTCAAGTAAGCGAGGTATTTACTTGTATTTGCTAATCTGCAGTGAATGCCTGATGTGGTTTAAAAAAAAAAAGTGAAACTTCACTACAGATTAGCAAACAAAAGTAAATCCGTGCTTACCTTGTTTAGTGATAATCTGCCCCCAAAAGGGTTGACCCTAGAGGCCTGGGAGTCAAGGAACGGCCAGTGCAGTGAGATGTTTGTTCCTCTTCCGTAGGTTTCATCCTTTGGGCAGGAATATTTTCCTAACTCTGTGCCCAGACCTGTGCAGGGGCTGGGGACTCCGAGAACACAGTCTCCCTTCAGAGGGGGCCACTCTGGCCAGCAACTCCTGGAGAAAGGTGGGGGCGGTGCAGAGGCTGGTTTCGGGGCCTCCAGTTGGGGAGAGAAGGAATTGGAGAGGTGAACAAAGCTAAGAAATGTCTTTCCAGCCACGAAGCCAATTTCCAAAAACTTGAAGACAAGGCAGTATTTGCAGTGGGCAGCAGCCAAAAGTGAGGTTGGACTAGGGAGGCTCGTGGGATGTTCCTACAGGTCAGTGAGGCATTCTACAGGCCACTGAAAGGGGTCTGGAGACTAATGAGCGCAGCGGGGAGCCACGGAAGGGTTGAGGATAGGGGATTTCTGTGATCAGAATTCTGGAAGGATCCCCAAATGGTGAGGTTAGAGGCAGGAGACAGCAGTAGAGGGAAAGGAACAGAATGCCATTGAGGAGGGTAGAAGTCTCCCAAGGCTGCCCTGCCTTCAGAACCTCCAGCCCTCAACCCTGAGGAGCCCCACCCCCACCTGGCAGCCCTGTGTCCCTAACAAATGGCTGGCCTGCCCATTAATGCTACAAGTAACCTGATCCTGGGTACCAGGCTTTGCCAGCTTGCCTCCCCCACCTTCTCACCCCCACCCCATAAACTAAAGGACTGCAAGTAACTTCAGGATGTGCCCCCTCCCCTCACACTGACCACTCCCAGGTCGTCATTTGAATTGAGAAAATGGGCCTTTATTCGGGCCCCCTTCCTTCCAGACATGACTTCATCTGAATCCAGGGGCCCAGGGAGGGAGGGAGACCCTGGGTTTGTTAGCCCCACGTGGCACTGAGGGACCAGAAAGGCTCCAGATGGCTTGAAATTGTCACCTATTCATCATGCTCAGTGGTGCATCTGTGCATTCTCAGAAGGAGTCCTGTCTTTGGTGTGGGGCTCCCAGCCTGAAGCTTGTCACCACCTCTGTAGGAAAGGCAGCTAGGGGCTCTGCAAGCTGGCTAGACCTGCCCCAACACACACTTAGGTTGGTATGCTCTCCCCCTGATCCTTGGCTAGGGCCAGGACCCCCACAACCACCCCGTCCCTCCTGGGCTCCTGTAGACAAGCATCTGGGGGATCCTGTGAAACCAGAGGTCCTGGGGGCCAGGGCCCTATTCAAACTTCCCCAAGTGGGCCTGGCTGATAGACAAGCCTGTGTGGGTCCCTGTCCCTTGCTGCTCCCTCCTGTGTGACTGCTAGCCTTGCCTGTGGTTTAGGGAAAGTCCAGTTATTTCATCAGCTGCCACAGGCCTGGCCCACAGCGGTATCCTCTGACAGCATCATGGGATGCAGAACTAGGGCCTGCCCAGCCCAGCCCCTTGTCAGGAGAAATAGGAGTCTTAGAGAAAAGCCAGAATTAGGAACTCTCCAGACCACACATCTCTCACGAGCATTTCTGGAGCTGCTCCCTGCTCCCTGGCCAAGGCTAGGCAGAGGGGAAATGGGGGCTGCCCTTGAGCAGTTCCCAATCTGGGAGAGGGGGACAAGAACAGCCAGCTCTAGTCTAAGAGAGTGAGCTGCTGATGTCAGCACAGGGCACTGGGAAGGCAGGGTCAGCGCTTTGTCCTCGCATGCTAGGCTGAGGAGTTGGAACTTGACCCAGAGGGCAGTGCAGAGCCATGGGGAGTTCTGAGCAGGAGGGAGGCCTGCAGGGTAATGGTTTCCGTGGTCTTCCTGGGACCTTCTGAGGACCTGGTACCCTGCGCCTCTGCTCCTCTCGTGCCTGCACCAAAGCCACTTGTCCCCAAAGTGAACTCACGGAAGGCCTCAAGGTGACTGGGATGGATGGAGACACCTTGTAGCCACTAGCTCGAAGGACTTGGGGATCGAAGTAGTCCATTTAAGACAGGCATGGTAAATGCAGAAAGAGATTTGGGGACCTGGGTGGGCCCTCGGCCCTTGGGCGGGCCCCTCTGAAACCAAGGCAGACACCACTGGAGAAGAACCCAGGCTCAAGTGTGCTGAAGTGAGATCAGATGCTTAATACACTCAGCCAGGGTGTATTACACCCTCACCTGGCACACGCAGGTTTTCCCTGCGCCCTCTGAGCCCTGGAGTGGGGTATAGGGAGTGGCCTGAGACCTCCGACTGTCCTCTTCTACTGGGGCTGAGAGGAAAGACAAAGGGGTCATTTTTGATCCTTCTGTAAGAAAAATCAGAACTGAATGAGGCCTAACATTTGGTGGTGGAGGCTAGACATGGCCTCCGTGTCTTCCTGGGTGGGGCCTCTTGTCCAGGAGTGCTGACCTAAAAGTCAGGGAGAGTGGACGCCCCGGCAGGGAGCCCTTCAGCCACACAGGACACCCTCCCCACCCCCACTCTAAGGCAGCCATTTCTCCCCAGCCAGCCTCTGATTTCACTCTCAAAGGCAGGCCCTCGGGGCTCCAAAAGGACTAGAAGTGACATGTCCAAGGTCAAACAGCAATGGGGCTGGCAGGCAGGTGGCAGTGCCGTATCAGATCCTTTATCTGCACAGAGAAGAGCAAGTGTGGGTGGCAGGGAGGGGCAGCACCAGGACTAGACAGAGGCGTTACCCTCCCAGCCCTTGACTCAGAGGCCAGCAGGGCCTGGGGCTGCTGACTGGCACATTGCCAGAACCCCCTGCAGGGCTGCCAAGAAGCAATGAGGCTGGCCCCTAGGAGGAACCCACCCCCTCATCCCCTAAAGAGCCTGTAAAAGAGAAGCAATGTGTTTACAGCAGAGGAAGGGGGGGCAGGGACCTCTGGTCAGAACACCCCTCCCAGTAAGCGGAGGAGGCCCCAGGAGATGTGGTGGCCTTTGTTTGCTTCACACTGCCAGGAGGAAATTAAACAGAATCTGCCACTTCCTTCCTCCCCAAGCAGGATGGTGGGGGGTGGGGCAGGGTAGCATGGGCAGGCAATTGCAAGAGCCCCAAGCTGCTGGGATGAGCAAATGGCCACCAGTAACCCCTGCCCAGAGCAGTTGTGTGAGCTCTGAGCTCCATTCAGCTGTCAAACTTGTCCAACACAACACCCCCCACCTCACTGGACTGGCCCCTTTCAGGGCTGCCCCCACCCCACCAATTCCATATCACCTTTCATCAGGAAAATCAGTTCATGGCTAGTGCTACCAGCCAAAGGAACCTTGGTAGTTATGAGTTGGGCTGCTAACTAAAAGACCAGCAGTTCGAACCCACCTCTCACCCCTTGGGAGAAAGATGAGGCAGAGACTCTTTAGGGAAGAATTTATGATCTCAACCTGTGAGGCAGTTCTATTCTGCCTTCACACGGTCACTTCGAGCTGGAATGCCCTCAAGGGCAGCGGGCGTAGTTGAGCTTGCTTCTGAGGTTTACCGTCAGTGCATTGAGCTCTTGGGTCTTCCTGGCTCAGCCAAGTCCAGCGAGTTTGAAAAGTGGCACCCCACACACAAATACACCACACAGACCCACAGAGACAGGAAGGGGGCAGTCACCCTCAGGAAACACAGAGGGCAGGCAGGGAAGAGAAGATGCCAGGACACAAGTCTGGGTGCCCCAGTGCCCAAGGCTGAAGTTGCCAGCCATGAGTGAGGGCAGGTGTCTTTATTTCACGGCACTGATGTTAAGCTGGGAAGGTGCCACCTGAACAGCTACTGTTTCCATGAGAATACTGAGGTCACTCAGAACTTGGCCCCGTCACGTCACTCGGCCCACCGGGAGAGAGGTGACCTACTCCTGGGCTCAGACCCCAAGCTGATGTCCCAGCCAGGACCCCTAACTCCTGCCAGGCAGGGCTGGCAAACCGCTCAATGGTCCGTTCACATTCCAGTGTCTACAGCCATCTTGGGGCCAGGTCCTTGGAGGAGACGATCAGGGCAGGGATAGCAGTCACCGGCCTTCCTGCAGGCTCTCTTCCCCACTTCCCAGGGCCACAAGGGGCTTCTTGCACAACTCCCCGGCCAGCGCTGGGTCCTGAGTGCAGGGGTCCCCAGGATCTTGGTCAGGGGCCTCGCGCTTGCGTTTGTGTAAGGAGGGGCTCTCATCACCCAGTCGACCCTCGGGGAGGCCCCGGCTTCGCAGACAGACAATGGCTGCAGCCTGTTCCGCCAGTTTCTTGGACTTGTCCCTGGGCAAAGGAGGCAGGGGGCAGTCGGCAGACTGGACGGCTCAACTTGCAGAGGCTGCCAGACCCAACTCAACACCCTTGGCAGAGATCCTGCCCACAGTGAGGAGGACCATTGCCCGGATGCCACTGCCCAGGGCCCCTGCCCTTCCAGGCCCGAAGCCCCGAGCCTCGGGCCCCTGATGAGGGCACTCACCACAAGGTGGACTGGTACTTCTGCTCAGCAACAGTAACAACGGAACCAAAGAGACGGTCCTGGGGGCGCTGAACCTGGGGGACACAGGAAGAGCAAGGACATGGAAGCCATGCTAAAGTGAGTGGCCGAGCGCTGGAGGGCCAGGGTCACACTGTAGACAGGCCAAGGGAAGACTGCCTACCTAAGGTGAACGAAGAGCCCAAGCTACCTAGACCACATGCTCCTCCTCTGAGAAGCCCCCGGTGCATCTTCAGGGGAGAAAGACAGATACACAAATGGACAAAGATCACAGGGTGTTGGGAGCCCTGTGCTGCACCTGAGCAGAGGGTCGTCAGAGTCCTTAGCTGAAGGTGACTACAGAAGCTCCCTGCTTGAATCCAGGGCAGATGATCCCTTCAGGACCAGTGGTGTGAGTGGCAACACTGGGAGGGTAGAGGGAGAATGGGTTGGAAAGAGGGAACCGATTACAAGGAACTATATGTGACCTCCTCCCTGGGGGACGGACAACAGCAAAGTGGGTGAAGGGACATGGGGACATGGTAAGATATGACAAAATAATAATTTATAAATTATCAAGGGCTCATGAGGGAGGGGAAAGCGGGGAGGGAGGGGGAAAATGAGGACCTAATGCCGGGGGCTTAAGTGGAGAGGAAATGTTTTGAGAATGATGAAGGCAATGAATGTACAAATGCGCTTTATACAATTGATGTATATATGGATTGTGATAAGAGTTGTATGAACCCCTAATAAAATTATTTTAAAAAATAAATAAGTCAAGGGCAATAAAGATATTGCAGAATGAAAACAGAAAGAAAAAAAAAAAAAGAAGCTCCCTGCTGACATCAGATGGGCCAGGTCCCCAAAACATGAGATGCTCACCAGATGAGACATAGGTCCCCCCAGAGGGGCCAAGGGCAGGAGGAGAGCAGGCCCAGCTGGCAGAGGGACCAGGGATAAGGCCTCCTGAGGCAGAAAGGCATGTGCTCCCTGCTGCTGAGATGCTGGGAGAGCGGAGGGAGAGGGCATGAGGCTTTCCTTGTTTTAAGTCACTCCAGCAGACAGGAACACAAGCCTGGAGGCCAGGGCCCCTCCAGACAGGACAGAGAAGCCTAAACTGGGCACAGGGACCAATAGAAGTGCAGCAAGAGGGTCTAACAGTTTCCCTTGAAGGGCCCCACACCTGGGGCCCTTTGGCTGAGGTCTACCTTTGTTTCTAAGCCCAGCTGAGAAGTCTACCCTGTCTTCGATGCCACCACACCACTGACAGGGCCCAGTCCAGACAGCCCTTCCTTTGGGCCCTTTTCTAAAAACGGGACAGCAGGTCCACTGGCAGAAGGGAGGGGCTCCCATGGACTGGACTGGCCACAGGCAGCCTCTGCATGCTCATGGAAGGCCAGGCTAGCCTCCTGCCCAGCAGTCTAGAGTTTGGGCTGGAGCTAGGTGCGCTGACGTAGGTGGCAGGAACTCACCGTCTGGTACACAGGTTGTGCCAACTTCTCCCTACGACACCACTCCAGCAGGCACATCTTAGGGGTGATCTGGGGTGGGTATGCTCTCCTGGGGAAGAGGTTAAGAAGTCAAGGCCCACCCACCATCACCACTCCCCACTCCCCCACCGGGCACTGGAAGATGGGTAAGGTCACCCCACTGCCCTAAGGCTCCAGCCCTTTTCTCGGGCTCCCACCTCGCCCCCACCAGTGGCCTGGGGCCTTGATCTACTTCAAGTGGGGCTTGGACCTGTTTGGGAAGTTCCAAATGGGAATGAACTCCAAGCCCTCTGGACCCTGGCCTGGAAAACAGCTTTCAACAGCAAGAAGGCAGGCCATTTGCTTCTTCAAACAAGGTTAGGAGGGAGGCAGTGGGAGTGGGTGTGGGGAATGTAGGTGGCCAGATAATGGCCTAGCGAGATCTAACTCAGTGCCCACCCTGACCACATGTGCTGTGGGGAGTGGAAGCCCTCCCCAGCTGGCTCAGGGACCTCCACACCCGAACTGGTGCCTGGTCGGGAAGAGGGCTCAGGTCCCAGATGGCAAAGGGTGGGGAGCCACTGTTCAAATCCCAGGCCACATCAGTCTCCAGCAACTTCTGCCTTCTTGCTGGCAGCACAGGGGCTGGTGAGGGGCCAGGTGTGGGCAGGGGCTGTGGAGCCAGAAGAGGGCTAGGGCCCACCACCGCCGCTGCGGGTGGGGAGCCCCATGGGGCAGGCAGTTCCTTTCCAGAACTGAGGCAGATTGGCCACTCCGATCCCCAAGCCTTGGGTGGGGAGAAGGTTCAGGAAAAGCAGGGTCCCGTCGCCCTTGAAACTACGCAGGCATAGCCCCAACACTGCTGCCTGGGTTTCCCCAAAAAAGTTGTCTTCCGTGGGAGGCTGACACGGAGAACAAGTGTCTGAGCTGAGGAGACCACAGTCCCTGAGCATGCGTTATCTGTGCACAGCAGCCGGGACCCGACCAAGCTATAGGCCTACCGGTCAAACTTGACAGCCATCTTAATGACACCGGAGACGTCGTCCCCGAGCTCCCTCGCCTCCTCTGGGATCCCGGCCAAGAGCTCCGCCCGTCGCGAATCCTGCTCCCTCGAGCTCTCCTCATAGAGGACACCAAGGCCAAAGGCTTCGCTGTCCAGGGAGGATCAGGGCAGAACAGGCGCCTCGGTGTGACCAGCAGCCAGGATTCCACCACAGACAGACTTCTCTCTCTCCCACCCCGCAGCACCATGGGGCCTGGACGCATCTGGGGTCACCCTGGGCCACTGACGGTGAGTCAGTGTGAGGGTGGGCAGGTAGGACTGAGTAAAAGGGTTCTAAAGGTCATCTTGTGACCCCAGCTGCTCTGAGGAGAGGCACACAGGATGGTGTCTCCAGCCAACCACTGCCCAAGTTGATCATCCCAAGACAGGAAGAGACAGAGGCCTGACTCCCCTCCTCCCTTGGCCACAAGCAGTTGCCTAGGTGACATGGAGGGAGTGCCGTCTGCAGCCCTGAGCTACAGAGGTGTGCTCCCCTGGAGCTCACAGGGCACCTGGGCAGGATGGGGTGCTGGTTCAGCTACGGATGGAGTGACAGAGGGGGCTTCACAGGCCTAAAGGGGAGGGCCACATTTGAGTGAGGCTTTTTACCCTAGGAAGTCTTGTGGGCTAGAGAACGTCCAAGGAGATGCATCCCTTGGGAGAGGAGTGGTTCAGAAAGGCATCTTTGGAGAAGGCAGGCTGTAGACAGGCAGAGCGAAGGGGAGAGAACATTCCAGCAGCAGACTAGGTTTGGAGGCAGGGGAGGTGATGGATGGGGCGATAGACAGGGACCAGGCCAAGGCGGGAAGGGCCTCAAGGGCCCACCACCTGCGCTGGAGCTGCAGCAGACCCAGAGAACCAGGGGGTGGCCGGGCTATGGGCACAGGTGGGGCCAGAAGCGTCCTTGTGACCTGGTATTTGGCAGGTGCAGTTCAGGGAAAGCCCCTTCCTCCTCAGAAATTCTCAAGTCCAGGCTTCAGCCCTCCATCCTACTAGAGCCCTAGAGGTCCCGAAACTCAGATGCTGAGAACAGTCCAGCGATGGAAAGTTACAAACCTTCCCTTCTGTGAGGGAAAGCTGTCTCCTCCCCTTCCCGTCTCACCAAATTTCCCGAGAAGACTGGGCCGCGTGGAGCAACCTTCCCTGGGGTGACTCCAGCTGTTCTCGCAGCATCTGGCACAAGCAGTACTTGGTGTTGGTGTAGTGGTTGTCATACTGTACTGCCTGAGAGGAGAACGGGCGTGAGCCACCTGCCGACCTGGAGGCCCTCAGGCCTGGGCTACCCTCAGATGACAGAGGTGCACCTGCGGCCGAGGCGGAGTGCCTGTCGGAGCCACCTCCTTCCCGCCATCTGCTCCTCCAGGGGATGGCACGAGTCGGAGGCCCACGGTCAGAAGCACTCTCTACCGGACACCTGGCTGAGGTCAGAGGCAAAGGAAGCCCCTCCTGCCTCAGCCACCACGGGTCACCACAGAGAGCCGGCTGCCAAGCATCTTGTGGGCTGGGGAGGAAATGAGCCAAACTCTGGCTCAGCAGATCAAGCCTCAGGCAGTGTTTGGGGGGTGGGGGGGAAGGCCCCCCGACTCCTTATCATGAGAATGGAGCCCTTCCCTGCATGCAATCTACGTGCCCTCTCAGGTGTCCTCCTGCGGGGAAAGCACAGTGTTGTGTGCCAAGCATGTTGGCACATGTCCCATGTCACTTCAGTGATCTACACATCATGAGAAATGGCTGTCACCTTACTCCACAGATGGGGAAATGGAGGCAAGATGACCGGCCCATGGCAGCCCAGCTGGCTGAGGGAAACTAACCCATTCTCCTGAGTTGCAGCAGTAGATAAAGGCTGTGCCCCCCACCACCCTGCTTAACCTGAGCCGATGACCTCGGGGGCTGGGACAACGCAGGGAGAGGGTGGGTAAGCTCCAGGCAGTGGCAAGGCCTTGATACAGCTTGCCTGGGACGGACAGCACCTGGCTGGCCCCGAAGTACACAGCCCTGCCTATGCCCGAGAGCCGCTCCCTCTCTCAGGGACAACACACCCTCTTGAGCAGCTGCCAAGGGACGGGTTGAGCAGGAATGAGAGCATCACCTATCGCCCAGCAAGCAAGCTCAGCACTTCTGAAGGTGTCTGCTGGGCCACCAACTTGCCAGAGGCCAGGACAGCTGGGCTGATGACCTGGACTGGGACGAGTGGCTGCCCCCTGTGCCAATACTTTGACTCAGGCTACTGGCGAGCCTAATAGGCACCAACCTGTACAACAGGCTCCCTCCCCCACCAGGACCCAGGGGATTAGGCCCTTAGGCTACAGCCCTGAGTCAGGGAGATTCCAGGGCAGAGGCTGACTGGTGCTGGCCACAAGCCTCAGAGTTCTCACCATACCCAGACTGCACAGCCCTGGGCACACAGCATACCAGGACAGCCACAACTGCCCGCCCAGGGCCACAAGTTGGAGAAACCAGAGTCTCATATCTGCTCTGGACCAGGGCCACATCCCCTCTCTGAGCCCCACTCATGATGAGTTTAAGAACCACTCACAGTCCCTGCTTCCAGACACACAGGGTGGATCACCGAGTCCATGCCATGGCAAGGTGGCGCCACAGAGACCAGGCGGGTGAGCTCATCACAAGCTTATTTTGTGGGGAGCTGCCTGTGGCACTACTTGAACAGCCTAGCAAGGAGAAACTGATGTAGAAGCTGTTCCCTAAAGAGAGGCTCATGGACTAAAGCATTCTGGGAATGAGCAAGAGAAAACTTTCAGCAGTGGTTTGGTAGACAGATGTTTTGACCTCGACAGGAATGCTTCCTCCTAGCTGAGGCTGTATCTGCACCAGTCCCCTGGGACAAGGGGTCTTCGGTGGTCACATGGATACCCCCACCCCACCATGTGCATGCTTACATGTGCGCTGTGGGGAGTGAGGGAGATCTCATGTGCCTGGGGACCCTCAGCAGCCTGGGTCTTTGCTAGAACCTCTCTACCCCCAGGAGCTTCAGAAAGAGCCGCTGGTAGAGATGCATGTCCCGGCAGTCTCTGGAGACCCAAGGGCTACGCTCCAAGAACCAGAGAGGATGGGCAAGGCACAAAGGTTGCTGGCGGTTGGGGGGCTCCTGCAGAGGGAGCAACGGGGCAGCAGTAGGGAAGCAGGCAGAAACATACGTACATATCGGATGTATTTATGCATGACCTCCTCCAGGGGCCGTAGACCCGCCTTGAGGAAGATGGACGGGTTCCACATGGCCGCGCGGGCCACCATCACGGAAGATGCTGCCGTGGCTCGTCGAAAGTCTTCTATGTCCAGATACCCTTGGATGTGGTCGTGAGAGCCTCCACTGAAAGCCAAAAGGGGAGTGAGGCATAGCCACCACCACCCCTTCCCCGGGTACCGGCATTTTCAGAAGACAGCAGCTCCCAGATGGGCCCCTCATGAAAGGTGTGCCTTTGGGCAAGCCCCCTGGGCTCTCAGAGCTGCGGGACTCTGGAGCTATGATGCCTACCCCCACTCTGCTGCTACGAGGACCTAGAGAAAGCCTGCCGGGCACTTAGTAGGTAACCCAGAAATTTCACTTTCCTTCCTACTCTTGGGTAAAGAAGAGGGAGATTCTCAATGCGATGGGCTGATACAGGGGCTGCAACAGCGGGCTCAGCTGGAACGAGGACTATGAGGATGGTGCAGGACTGGAGGCTTTTGTACCGTTGTCCAGGGGTCGCTCTGAGTCGGCCCTGACTCAGAGGCACCTAACGATGACGATGTCTGGCTGATGTCAGCCCACAGGTAGAGACATGGTACTGGGACCCCAGGTAAACCACTGGGCTAAAAGCCTGGTGAGGGGCACCGAAACTCAAAGCAGAAGACAGGGAGACCCCAGTTTGGTTGCAATTTCCCCTCCTTCCCCTACAGCCCCAAGCCCCTGGGAAACTGTTCTGCCCTCATTGACTTTTATCAGAAGTCAGGCATCAGGCCAGGCAAGCATACAAGGGGTCCCCTAAAAGGCCAAGGCGGCGGCAGCAGCAGCAGGGCTCAGGGGCTGAGTAGTCCTGCCAGCCCAAAAGCCAGGGCAGGTCGGGCCTGACTACAACCCTCAGGTGAGCCTTCATCAGGGCTCTGCATTCCTGGACCCTCACACCTTCATGTTCTGTGCTACCTAACATACTGAGTGGGACTTCCGCCCGCTCAACATGGATCAGCTCAGCATGGCAGGAGAAGTTGTCTTACTAAATTTTGGGCCTGGTCACTGGTCCCTGAGACCTGCTGATCTAGGTCCTGGGTCCTGGAGCTGACAGAAGGCTCGTTTGGGCTTCCAGGCTTGGCCCGTCTTCCACCCCTTGCCATGACTCTGCATGCTCTGACTGGGGGCTCCTCATGTGGCTCCCCGACCCAGCACATCAAACACTGCATGGGACATCACCTTCCCTTGGGCCTCATTTGGTGGCTGCCTTCTGCACCTCCCTGTCCCTGAATACTCCCCCACCCCCAGCCGTCCGTCACCATGCCCGAAGTCACCCGTTTCATTGCTGAGTGTATCCTCTTACATTTCCCATTCAGTTCGCTTTTTGTCATTTCACTCTTCGACATCTGTACCAAGCCCTTCTGGAGGGGGCTGGCATGGAAAGGTGAATGACGAAGCAAGGAGGCTTACTTGGCGATGACAGGAATGGAGAGGGTCTCCGCTATGGCTTTGATGGTCTCACAACTGACAGGGTGCTGAGGGCGCTCCTCCCGTTTCCTTGGAAATAAAGAGAAGAGACAGGATTCCGGACTGGCCAAAACCCTTTGTCCTCCTCACTGAGCCTCAAGAAGGTCAGGGGACTGAGTCAGGCTGTAGGGGCAAGGCTCTCCCTGAAGCTCCAGGGCCGATCCCTACAGGGAGGGCCAGCTGGCTTCTAGAGGCCTGCAGGGCTGCATAGCTGCCTGGGGCACTAGGGATGGCTGTTCCCAAGGTCTCACCACCTTGCCCCAGCTCCCACTGCCCTTGACTCTGTTAGAGATGAGGACAGTACCAGTAGAACACTGCCCCTACTGGCCCGGTCCTGCCCTCCCCAGGAGCCTGGGAACAGCTGCCACCACTCAGACTGACCCTCCCACCCAGCTGCCTGTGCTGGGGCCAAGCAGCGCAGCTGATCCAGGGAAGAGGCACCTGGCACAGGGTAACCCCACGTCCGGAGCAGCCAGGACAGGCCACAGACCACGGCTGTCACGACCCTCAGGGTGCTCCTTCCACGTCAGCTTCAAGTCCTTGTGCGTGAACCCAAGAACCTTGGAGGTACCATAAGTCATGAACCAAGCAGGGAGGGAAGCCCAGCAAGAAGCCCCTGCAGCTCCTCTCTGGGGATGACCCTCCCTCTGCTCCACGCCTCCACCAGGGAGCCAAGGGCCACGAGGCCTCTGAAGGCCCTCTCCATCCCCGCCCTCCTACTCCGCATGACCCTAGGCGTGAGTTTTAGACTGTCCATGACTGATCTGATGGCCAGGAAGTCTTTCCTCAAGACGCATTCAAATCTCTCTTCCTACGGTTTCCAACAGCTGATGAAACTCTCATTCGTTAAGAATCCTGTGTGCCAGGGACTGTGCCGGGGCTTTCTATTCGCCATCTCCTAGCAGCCTCAGACGGCCCGCTAAAGCAGAAACTGTCTTAATTTCCAGATGAGGAATCTGGAGGTCAGAGAGGTTAAGTGATTTCCCCAAGTGCACAGAGCAAACAACAGCAGAGGTGGGAGCTGGGCGAATCTGAGGTGCAAAGCCAGCTGCCCTGGAAGGGAGGAGCCGTCGTCACCTCCTGACTCGTGGCTTTCGTCAGCCCAGCTCCACTTTTCCCTGTTGTCTGTACTGGGGCTGATAAACACAGCCACCTGGACGGGCCCAACAAGATCCCGGAACCCAAAAGGAACATCACTCAAGAAAGAGGCCACTCTGGCTGGGCCTGCTGAACTGGGAGCCTGCACGCGGGGCATCTCAGACCCGGGGAGTAAACTGACTTGGAGTGGAGGCTCATCTGTGGCCACACCTCAGCTCTCAGCAAACATTAGCTGCAGACGGAAGAACTGTTTAAAGGGGCACTGTGACAGCTGGCGGTCCAAAGAGGACAGACAGAAGTGGCAGTACCTTTACAAGAACAGCAGTCAGCCCCCGGACGATTCTAAGGAGGGGCCATTGTTGGATGTTGGGCAATGAGATTCATAGAAAGGATGGAGGCGGATAGGGGTGGGAGGCAGAAGGAGGTGCGGCTGCACCCATGCAGTTGAAAGTCTCATGGGCTCTAGACTTTTGGGAACCACAGAGGGTAGAAGGACCCCTGAAACTATTGCCTTGAGATCATCCTTAAACCTTAAACCCCAAATATCTTCTGACATCTTCTCAAACCTAATCCAGAGTTTTGCTTAACCAGTAAAAATGGTCTGCCTTGAGCACTGGGCTTTTTTAAATCACTCTCTCTGGGACCCAAGAGCCCAGGGCAACTCTGAAGGTCAAACAGGAACTTCAGGGAGCACTGTGTGTCCTTCAATGAGAATGGCTGCACCAACGGGAGACTGGAGTCCCCGTCACTGAACTGCCCGTCACTGAACTGCCCGTGCAGAAACGGTTGAACTGGGGGACCTTTCACTGTGCGTGTTTCTCAACCACCACCACCACCACAGAGAGCTCAGAAAAAAGAAAAGGAGACTGGGCTCAGAGTTCCAATCCACTCTCTTCTTAGCAGCACAAGAGGATTCTTGGCAAACCACCTGCTCTAGACCCTGGACACAGCCTGCGAGAGGAGGCGGGTACCCTCCTTCGGGGGCTTTCAGCATAGCGCCTACAGCCAGGAGGCGCTCCACCAAAGAAGCAAAGACAAAGCAAGCTCCAGGCCCGGCCCAGAGAGGGAGGCTGAGCATGTGGACAGGAAGCTGCTGCTTCACCTGGTCAAGATCCACTCAGATGGCTGAGGCCCACCCTTCTGCAGAAGTCAATCCCGAGACTGGCAGCCGCTCACCTCCCATGAACTGCGATGGCGGCAATGCCGGTCTTCTCGATCCGCTTCACAAGGCTCAGGGTGTCCTCCAGCTGAGGAAGAGGCCACCCAGGGTGGTCAGCAAGTTCCAGAAGGAGCAGCGGCCAGCTCCAAAAGCGGGCTCAGCTCCAACCCCACTCCTTGAGCTCCCCAGGAGTCACGCACACCCCCAACTCCAACATGACTGAGAATGTGACTCCAACAGCCCTTACCGAGGGCAGAATTCGGATCTTGCAGGTCACCGGTCTGCTTGTCCCGTGAACCAGAGTGCTGAGGATCTGCGGGGAGAACAGCAGGGAACCTGTCTCTTCTGGACCCACCAACCCCCACTGCCCAGACTCATGAGCTCTGTGTATACCAATGAGCTGTGTGGCTCAGCGGCAAGGAGAAAGTGTGCATGTGCACGTGTGTGTGCAGCACACATACATATAAGACTTCCACGAGAAGTCCCCCCACACACACACGTGCAAGCGCCAGCACCCACCCGCCACTGGCCTGGCCCCGGGTGGCACTCGGGCATCTGCTAAGGGGACGGATGAGAGCTTGTGTGTGGATCTGTGGGCACCTGCGTGGAACATTCAGTCTCCTGGGGAACTTCAGAATTGGCTCCTAATTTCTGCCCCCATTTCTTGGAAGGGGGTCAGGGGAGGGAGGGTTCTTAGGAATGTGTTTTCCAAAGGCTGTGCCCAGGAGCCTGCCTTTGCCAATTCTGAGGCCTAGCCCTGGTTAGGAACACCTGGGGGAAGGGAAGCTCCCAGAGTGTCAGCCGGGAGCCAGTCAGGGAGCAGGAAGGCCTTCCAGGTTCTGGGTCCTGCCTTCATGGGCTCCTCCTTAGGAATCAGAGACTCCTAAGACACTATCTTCAACATAATAGGAAGTGCTTATTTTGCAAAGTAATTACAAGGGAACTTCAAAGAGAGAGCTGGAAATTATATGGGAAAGTGTCAGGGAGTAGCAAGATCAGATCAGGAGAGGCAGAGATTGGGGTGAGAGGGACAGCATGTCTCCGAAGTGGCTTTTAAAAATCCCGCATCAGAATTCTTTCAGGCCAGGTAAGCTAGAGGGAAGGTGATTCCAGAAGCCCTCTCCCGGAACCGGGGTCTTTCATGAGCAGAACAGTGGGGAAACCCGGACAGCTGGTGACTGCCTGGCATGGTTCTGGGCAGGTGGGGGCAGCAGAGAGCTGAGTCGGACCAGCGAGGTGGCGGTTTACTCTAGACATACTCTAGACATACATATGGGCTAAACTGGGCAGGACCTCTCAAGCCACTTCAAAAGACAGGCATTTGGGCAAGACAGGGCCTGCTGGTATAGGCACAACTGATGGGGCTGGTATGGAGAAGAGGGCCCTAGGGTCACTTGGGCAGGTCTTAAAGGGACATCTATCCTTTAAAGTGTCCATTGAGACACACAGCAAAAATCCTCACTCTATTCCTAGCTGCTAGGCCGAGAGCCCGTCTCTAGGTTTCTTTGCAAACGTGGATGTAGCATCCTTTGATCCTTGGCAATGTAGGCATCTTCGTGACTTAATCAAGAAAGGTGTGTGTCAGGGTACTATCCTTTCACCATACTTGCTCAATCTGTATGCTAAGCAAATAATCCAAGATGCTGGATTATTTGAAGAACGCAGCATCAGGACTGGAGGAAGCCTCGCTAACAACCTGTAACATGCAGAGGACAGCAACCTGCTGGCTGACATCAAGGAGGACTTGAAGCATTTATTGATGAAGATCCAGGCTACAGCAAGGAAACAAAATCCCTCACAACTGGATCAATAAGCAACACATCGCAATAAATGCAGAGAATACAGAACGTGTACACAATCAATGCCCATGAAGGCAGCAAACAATAAATAAAAGACGACGTCACTTTGAGGCCTAAGGTGCACCTGACCCAAGCCACAGTATCTTCAATCACCTCAAATGCATGTGGAAGCTGGACAATAAATAAGGAAGACTAAAGAAGAATCGATGCCTTTGAATTCCGTCTTGGGGAAGAATCCTGAAAATACAGTGGACTTGTAGGAAAAACAAATCTGTGTTGAAAGACAGATAGCCAGATAGTCCTTGGCCATGCCATCAGGAGGCACAAGTCATGGAAGGGCATCGGGCTTGAGAGCGTCGGGGTCAGCGGAAAAGAGACAGACTCTCAGTGCAACGACTCGGCACAGGCTGCAACCGTAGTCTCACATAACTGGTTGTGTGGACGGTGCTTCCTTCTTGTCGTGCACAGGGTCATTGGGAGTTGGGACCAACGCCATGGCACCTAACAACAACAAGAAGCAACACCCACTCCTCGGACTTAATTCGCTGGTTCGCAGAACTCCCTCTTGGGGTATTGAATCCGAGTAGCTCTGAGTACTTGCTTCAGTATCTCTCTTCATTTGCGTGATTTTCAGGACCAGGGAGGACATGAGGAAACCCACAGCCCCGCCTCTTGAAGAGTGTCACAAGGAGAGAAGGGACAAGTCCAGCCCAAGGATGCCTCTCCCTTGTCCTTTACTTGTCTTAGCCTTGATCAAGTCGCAAGAATAAATGAATGCCTGCCCGATCTATTCCAAAGAGGCAACTATACTACCAATGAGTAGTCTACATCACAGGTACTTTGTGTGAACTTGCATATCAAGATAGACATCTATGCGTCCTTACATATGAGAGCGCTTCAAACAGTTCCTGGAAAAGTTCCATGATCTTTTACTTCCACTTTTCCATGAGCTTTTTGAAGCCCCCTCCTACACAGAAATACAGACAGACAGATGTTAAGGAGCCTGGTGCTGGGGTTGATGCTTCCGACTGTCCCAGTGGCTCTGAGGGTGACCAGAGCGGGCCTGCCTCTGGAAAGGTTAAAGCCTAGAAAACTGTTGAGCAACTCTACTCTTGGCACACGGGATTGCCATGAGCTGGGCGTCAGCTGCGTGTTACCACACAGGAACGTAGTCTGTGACTGCACCTGGAGGATGAGAAAGGACCTGACCTACTAGTCTTTGTAGATCCAGAAGAGAGGAGAACTGGAGGACTACTACAGGGCTGGGCTGAAGCCCCAGCCGGCGCGAATGATGGCAACTCCTTCAGCAGTGCTTACCCCTAAGTTGCCCTCACCGTTGGAGGCGCTGTAAGAATGAAAGTCCTTGAAGCTGGATAAAGACTGAAAAGGAAGGCAAATGAGCCAAGAGGACACAAAGACCAGCCAGTGGATGGGGAGAGGAAAGCAAAGGGTGCATATGGCGTAGCAGCAAATGCCAGCCCCTCGTGCCCTGGCAGTTCACAACACTGGGCATCGAACGCTGGCCCCCGGAGCCTCATTAGCCTGCCCTGCAGAATCACAAGGGACGTTTGCACAGAGGGAGGCTAATTTCAGCTTGCCTGGCCTGGCCTGGTCTCAGCGGGCTGGTGACAGACGACAGTTTGCAGGGTTCCCGCTGCTGCTCTCATCAGCTCCCAGGAGATGCCAGTCCTCCCCCCCCACCACCACCCCGCTATAATCCATAAGCAGCCTGGCCACAGAGAAAAGAGTCCTTAGGTCCCGCTTGCCCTCAGCTGAGGAGTCCGTAGCCCTGGACTTAAAAGGGACCCCAAGGACGTGAGAGGCTGGCTCTGGAGTTGCCCAACCTGGCTGCACATCAAACCACTGGGAAGTTTTCCAGAAGCTCCACGCTCCTGGGGAAAGGCTGGTACAGTAAGAAAGTACGAGGCAGAGCTAGAAGGGCATTCCAAGTGCCTCAAGTTCATAGCCATGTTGAAGGCAGGGTTTCGAGCCAGTTTGAACCAGTTCCATCACGGCTAAAGAAGCAAAGCCAGAGGAGACCTGAATTACTTTAAATTGGGTGATCCAGATCTCGAATCTGAACAGAAAAGTTACAGCTCAAAGCCCCATAATGGAAGACCCGGAAGAGGCGCAGTGAGCACTTCCTTTCAGGAGCCTGATGCAAGAGCCAGGATCATTGCCGGAACTGTAGAGCAACACATGTACACAGCAGCGCCATCAACTGCCAGTTTTAAGCCTGGCACCACGATCTTCCATTCAATTGGTGAGGAAATTTGGCTGCTATGCAACATGCATGCGGCCCCTCTGCCTATGACGAAGTGTAACTTCCAGCACAGTTTCCACCCATCAGTGTTCCCCTTCTGGTTCACCCACATTTGAAAATGCACCTGTGCTAAAGTCACTTCATTAGTTGTGACAGAATCAAGCTGAACCGGTTCAAAGTCCTGGTTTAAGAACCCCCGGCTTTCGCCGGAGCTCTGGTGGCGCAGTAGGTCGAGCATTAGGATGTTCACCCCAAGGCCAGTGGTTCACACCCGCCAGCTGCTCCACTGGAAAAACAAGAGTGGTCTGCTCCCATGTGCACTCTCTGAAACCCTGGGCAGCTGTTCTTAGGCTGTGTGGCCTACAGGGTCTCTGTGAGCAGAACAGACCGCAGGGCAGTGGGCAGAGGCTGGCTCTCACCCCCTCAGGACTCACCTGCTCGATCTTGTCAGGGTCGGACAGCAGCGCAGCTCCCATTCCTCCCTAGGGAAGAGCACACAGAGGTTTTCCTGCGGCCCAAGGAGGACAGCCCTGCCCCCAGGGCGGCCACCCGAAGGCCCTCAGCCACCCCCTCCAGAGGAGCCTCCACTCGCCAGCAAGCAGCACTGCTCCTCACAGTGGGAGAACAGAAGCATGGTACCCATGAAGTCAGGAATCAGCGCTAGACAAATTTGAAAAGGCAACCCTCCGCCCTCTGGGCAGAACCCAGGGATCTATCTAAAGGTAGGCTGCACAAAGATTATTTTTTGGGTCTGCACACTCGCCTTGATCTCGGGATCTTAATAAACTAAATCCCACCATCTTCCAAGCCCTTCAAGAACAAGGAAGTACTCCCTTTGAAATGCGGTCAAATGTTCCTTCTTCTGCCAACACTTGCCTTGGGGCCACCACCAGGAGCAAAGCCCCTCAGTACCCAACCTGCACACCTGGGCCAGGGCCTCCCCTGCTGCTAGCAGCCACCACCCAGCCCTAAACACCCAGACCAAGGCCGGGTTCTAACGGAAGCCCAACTTAGAGAAGCCACCAACCCTTGAGTGTCCCTATCAGCAGTGGCTGTCTCTTGATGGTGTGATTGTTGGGGATTTGCCTGTTCCTTTTCTGTTTGATTCCTCATTTTCCAAGTTTGGGACAGAAGTATGCATCACTTGCATAATCAGGGAGGAAGCCTTTAGAAAGACTATTTTAAATCTCATTTGAAGCTACTGCTCAGGGATGTTACGCACAATGGACTTTAAGAGTAAGGTGGAGAGAGAAAACAAATCCAGAAAAACCATGCCATCAGTATTCCGACTGGTGGCTGAACTGAAGGCTCACTTAAGAGTTTTAAGTGAGGCTTCCTAGGCTTAAGCTGAAGGTCGGTTATCACAGTTTTAGGATGACTGATAAGAATCAAAGAGACCGCTCTTCGCCATCTTCCCTGGTCCTCTGCTGCTGCAGTCTTGAAGGCCGAGCTGTGCAGTTTCAGTGCGTACAAGATTTACCCCGGACACGGGTGGTTCTACGCCAGGACCGATGGAAAGGTTTTCCAGTTCCTTAATGCAAAAATGCGAGTCGACATTCCTTTCCAAGAGGAACCCTCGGCAGATAAACTGGACCGTCCTCTACAGAAGGAAGCACAAGAAGGGGCAAGCGGAAGAAATTCAAAAGAAAAGAACCGGTCGTGCAGTCAAATTCCAGAGGGCCATTCCTGGTGCATCTCTTGATGACAGAACGGCCAAGAGGAATCAGAAACCTGAGGTCAGAAAGGCCCAACGAGAACAGGCCATCAGGGCAGCCAAGGAAGCAAAAAAGGCAACGCAAGCTTCCAAAAAGACAGCAATAGTTGCTACCAAGGCTCCCACAGAGGGCGCACCTGAACAAACGACCGTGAAGCCAGTGAAAGTGTCCGCTCCCCGGGTGGGTGGAAAACGCTAAGTTGGCAACTGAGACTTCCAGATAAAGATGCAACTATAAGAAAGAAGAAGAAGAATCAAAGTGACCATCACACTACCACAGATTTGGTCAGAGTGAGGTTGCATCTGAAAGGCGAACGGGAAGAGATGAGGGCTCTCCAGTCCTGACTGCCTTGGCTAGAGGTACAAGCCGTGGTGGACTTCAGGAAGCCTGGCCAGTCACCCCCGCTCCAGCTTTCCCTTTACCTCACACTATCCAGAATCTTCCTGCAAATCACCGGATCAAAAATCCAGTCACAACGACCACTCAACAGTTGTTTTCTTCCACTCTCTTCCCCGGCCTTCCCTGCCTGCCTTCATTTTCTTTTGCTTATTTGCCTTTGGGAATGCATAATTATTGACACAGATCGAAATTTAAGAGGGTCAACGATAAAAAGTAAAAGCTCTCCCTTCTGAAGAAGAGTGGCAAAGATGAACAAACATATGGAAACAGTTAGTCCGGTGGACTCGTGGACCATGCAAACAAGTCTCCACAACCCTGAGACCAGAAGTAGATGGTGCCCGGCTACCACTGCCAACTGCTCTGAAGGGATCACATGAGAAGGCCGTAAGAGAGAGTGGGAGAAAATGTGGAAAGAACTCAACGTCATAAAAGAGACCAGGCTTACTGGTCAGAGAGAGACAGGTGGGGCCCCAACACCACACTCCTGGCCCTCTGGGGTTCTAGAACTGAACAGCTTCCTCGTAGAATAATCAGCCACTTAAGAGCAAGAGAGCAGAAGCTCCCTAAGGCCCAAGTTCAGAGGGTTCGGAAAGGAGTGATGGAAACAGGAACGACGGGGAGGAAGGGAAGTCAGCGATGGTCACTGAGGGGACTGTAATTGACAAGGTCAACCAGGTTGTTGAGTGCAAAACTATAATCTGCTCTGCAAACCTTCACCTGATTCACAATACAAAGCGTTTCAAAATAAATTTAAAAAACAAAAACTACTCTCCCTTCTGAAGAAATGGCAGCGTGTTGATCTCTACTTTTTGTTGGTTTCACGATGTTTGAACCTTGAGAACATACTAGGTGTACTATGTCCTGTTGATTGGCATCTGGTCTGTGACAGCAATTAATTGTTGTTAATAAAATCGATGCAGTGGGAATTTATTACCTGGATAAAATTAAACAAGAATATGAAACACCCCCTCCCAGGGGGATGGATGACAGAAAAGTGGGTAAAGGGAGACATCGGTCAGTCTAAGACATGAAAAAAATAATAATTTATAAATTATCAAGGGTTCATGAGGGAGGGAGGGAGGGAGGGAAGGTGGGGGAAGGAGGGAGGAGAAAATGAGAAGCTGGTACCAAGGGCTCGCATAGAAAGAAAATGTTTTGAAAATGATGATGGCAACAAATGTACAAATGTGCTTGACACAGTGGATGGATGGATGGATGGATGGATGGATGGATGGATGGATGGATGGATAGATGGATGTAATAAGAGTTGTACGAGCCCCCAAGAAAATGCTTACCAAAAACAAAACAAAACAAACCGTCTCTCTTCCACCTCTGTTCCCCAGCCCACTGTTTCACTTCACAAAGAACGTCAAGGTTACTAGATGCTTTTGTACCATTCCAGATATATACATTTTACAAATACAAAAGTAAATATGAACTCCCCTTGATAGAAATGGTAGTTCACAATACACAATTCTGTTCCATGCTGTATCAGGAACATCCCACATACTTGAACTCCACTCCTTACCTGACTTCCAAAAACACACCAAACTCACTGCTGTCGAGCCAATGCTGACTCATAGCAACCATGCAGAGCAGGGCAGAACCGCCTCTGTGAGTTTCTGACCACCAACTCTATGCGGAGTAGAAAGTCTCATCATTCTGAAGCAGCTGTCTGCAAGGCCCTCTGGTTCTCAAGCCTCTGATCCAGCTCTCCTACTTCTCAATCCTCGGTCAAATCGCGCTCCTCCCCGTTGCCTGTGACCACCTGCCTGTCGGCCTCCGTATCCCTGTGTCCCTGCCGCGGCACCTCCCTGAGCTGCAGGGTCCCAAGTCCCATCAAGGGCACGTTCTCCTGTGAGACCACAGGTTTAAAGGCTGCCTTTCTTCTCTTTCTTGGGGCTGCTGTACCACGGTCTGATCTCTTCTGATAGGACAACAGAGCCCCTCATATTACATCATGTTTTTTCCTTGAGGTATACCCCAATTTTACTCATGAAAAGATAAGGTTCTGGTGACTCTTTTTTTAATGTCATTTGCTTTATTATCTGTGCACAGGTGCATGCACACTCACTCTGTGTGTGTATGTAGTTTTTTTCTGAACTATTTGAGGGTAAATTACGTTCATCGGTAGGAGAATGATGTGGCAGCCTGCTTCAGTACAGAGATACTGCAGTGCTTCTCTGTCCTTACGGGGTCAGTATGAGTCGGAATCCACTTACTGGCAGGGGGCTGGGGTTCTTTGGAACATCTATCCTAGCCTGACCCCTCAAGGGTATTTCCTAAGAATAGACATGTTCACGTACACGGACACAGAAGAGGTATCAACGTCATAAATGCACACTGTCAGAATAATTTGATCTAATCTATCATGGTCCGTGTTCTGATTTTGCCGACAACGTCCTTTTGAGACTTTAGCTTGCCCAGGATCCAGTCGAGTCAGGTACTGCCACTTAGTTTGTCATCTCCTGTTAGCCTGCGTGCAAACTTTACAAAGAGGAGAGAGCAGTCAGGTACCTTGGTGGAGTATTCCTTTGGGCAGCCCATATTGACGTCAATACCAGCCACGTCATTTTCCCTGGAAACACATGGAGGAAAGGTAGTGAATATTCAACTTGAGGGGAGAAGACAGAGGCAAAGGTATGGAGCTGTGCTCACGGGCCCCTCACTGTGTCCCTGGCCCAATGAGACACACCAATCCTCCATGGCAGGAGCAAAAAACCCAAACAAACAAACCCCAAAACCCATCCCTACACAATGCCTGACGTGAGCAGAACTCAGTAGAACAAAGCCCGACACCCAGCGCTGCGTGTGGTAGAGGGTAAAGGGCTGGTCAAGAGGACTACGCTATTTCTGGGCTGCCGTCGGGTCACTCAAGCAGGGGCGCATTCAACTCGATCCCAGAACTCTTGACTGGGGTTGTAGAGCATTTGTCAGTGACAGCACTGCTCTGGGCTGAAACTCCAGGGATATCTATTTGCTGAGCAGCACAGCTGGCTTACTTCAAACAGTTCTCGGATGTATAAAACACGGTCACCTGATTCCGGGCTAGGTACATGCAGAACGATCTGTGAGGAGCAGCAAGGACATTCACTGAGCACAGTGGGAACCTCCCCCATGAGGCCAGGGCAACGGGAGTGTGCTCAGGAGGCCGCACTAGTTCCTGGTCTCACCTTATCAATAAGGAAGCTACGTTCTCAGTGAACTTACGAGGCTAACTTGCCTACAGTCACAGTTAAGTTGCAAAGTCAGTGCCAGCCCAGTCTACCTCCAAAGCCCATCTCCTTAAGCACTGGACAATCCTGCCTTCTTTCACTGAGAAAACACTAACTCTTACGGATAACCTCATGAGATTGAAACTGAACAGGCCTGAGTCACCGGAAAGGGAGCCTAATGGATAAACACTTAAAAAAAGGTGCCTTACAGAGGTTCTGAGAGATCTAGGCACAGTGGGTACACGAGTCCCAGACTAGCCCTTGAGAATGAAGCCACACACTCAGGACCCGGAGTCGGAGGTCATGAGCTGAAGGGTACCAAGAGCGGGTCCCCTCCAAAGTCACCGGTGACATCTGGCCTTTCAGCACAGAGGAGAGGCAGAGGTAGTCTCAGAGAGGACAAACTTACACCAGCCTGGCCACAGCAAGGGCTCGCTCTGCGTCTGAAGTCCCCTGGGAACACAAGAGGCTGCATCAAACATCACCCTGACACAGGTCCCCATGCACAAATGCACTCCTACACACACACACACACACACACATACACACACACACACACACCCCAGCAAGGAGAGTTCTACTGGTGTTCTCTTCAAGAGCCAGCACATTGGACTAGCCCTGAGGGCCCAGAAAATGTATTAATCCTGTAATTACTATCTGATCCCACCCCCTACCCCCCAAATCGGTTCATTATATAATTGTTCAACATACAGACAAGTCCAGAGAATTTCATCATGAACATTCATATCCCCACCATTGACTTCACACAATTACCATTCTGCTCTGTTCACAAAGCACCAAGCAATGTCCATAGCAGAGGGTCAGGCAAAAGAGATAAGAGGATGATGCCAGGGCCACCACACCCCTAGGACATACCCTAACTACTCTTGGAGGAAAAAGCCTAATTTGTTTCTAAAGAAAACATACACAGGTGGCAGAAAACCAAGCATCAAGATCTGAATAATAACCAGTGCCAGGGATTAAAAAAATAAATATGAATCGATGACTTCCACTCGTGGGCTCCCTTACCAACTGGAAGACCACCTGGTTCCGCTCTCTTGCACAGGTGCGGAAGACAACTCGGCCATCGGGGGCGACAAAGTCCACGGTGCTGAGCACCTCTGCAAAAACACAGACACAGGGCCACCCAATTAAGAAGCCAGTATGACTGCAGCACATGTCAACAGTATTCCCCCAGATACCCCCAGCAAGTTCCTGTGGGGGTGGCTGGTCCCACCCCCAGGCCAGGGCAAAGGCTCCAAGAGCTGCCTTACCCCCCTCAGGCCCTTCGAAGTTTACAAAGTGTTGTCCTCATTCCTCTTGAGTTGTGTTTCCCTGCCTCTGAAGTTCCCTCCCACCCAGCTGCAGGGCTGAGCTGAGAAGGTGGTGGTGGGAAAGAAGCCTCAGACCGTGCCCCTTCCCTCTTGGGGGCCGGGGAGACAGCTAGCGACCTCCACCTACCCCTCATGTTTACGTTTGCAGCCTGAAGCACTTTATGTTGTGTGTTTTACATTTTTTTTTGGTCTTGTCCTGTAAATTATTCTCCTTCTACTGCTTCCAATGGAATTAAAAGACTATTCAATGCCTAAAAAAAAAAAAAAAAAGAAGCCAGTCAACCTAGCCGAAGTCAGCGTCACCTTGAAGGGGGAAATGGACCCTAGAGAGGAAGTGTGCCTGTGGGAGGCTTCTCGGCGGGACGGTTTCCTTTCCAGGCAATGGCCAGATGGCTGCTTGTTTAAAGCTAAGCCTTCAACTGCACATTGGGGGGGCGATGGACTGTGTCCTCAGTGTTTAAATGTTGGAAGACAGAGCACATGCATCAAATGTTGTCTGTGTCTCCGATTCTGCCCACATCATCCGAGATGTCACTCTAGAGTTCAGCACAGGTCCCACTTCTGCATGACATTCCATGAGTGGAGTTAGCGATGCCCTCCCATGGACTGTTCATAACGAAGCTCGGTGATGGCTACTGCTGTTACTGTGTTCAGAGATGAAGAGAGGCTACACACATAAAGGCGACCCAAGGTGGCAGAAGGGGAAAAGTCCAAATTCAAAGGCAGTGTTGAGAGCCAAAGTAGACCTGTCATGAACATGAGTGCTTCCATAATGGAAGCTGACGCTATCCCGCAGCTGAACAGACTTAAAGAAACCTGCCATCGAGTTGATGCTGACTCATCGAGACCCTCTAGGACAGGGTAGAACTGCCCTTGTAGGTGGTTTCTGAGACGGTAATTCTTCACGGGAATGGAAAGCCTAGTCTTTCTCTGGTGGTTTCAAACTGGTGACTGTGGTTAGCAGTCTAATGTGTAATCATGACACTGCCAGGACTCCTCTACTGATGATTTTTTAATAGACCAGAAGAGGAGAAACAGGGCAGGGTAAAGGTGACAAGGTGGCGATGGTGGGGAAGGGAAACAGAAGTGAGGCCCTGCCAGCAGAGAAGAACCACAAAACAATGATGTGCCCACAGCACAGCTGGATGTATGACCGCATCATACTGGAGGTCCCTGAAGGCACTGGTGACATAAACCCTGGCTCACCCCTCTACAAGCACTGATGGAGGGAAAGGCCCAGGAGAAAAGGGAATGGCAGAGCATGTGTTAAGTGGACAGTGGTGATGGTATATCATGGTAATTGTAATTAATGTTGCTAAATTGTACATGTAAAAATAAGGGAAATAACAATGATCTATTATACATAGTTTGATGCAATAACATTTGAAAATACAGACAGCATGATCCCTTTGGTGGGTATAATATGTGTTGTTAGACACTGTGGGAAACAGAAAGATTTCTCCCAAGTTGCCTCCCCAAATTATGTCAAACTTAGCTTCTTGCTACATGTGGCAAATGACTACACTGGGAGGTCAGCAAAAGTAGGCCAGGGGTTATTCTCCCTAAGGGTTATCAGCCATCTAGAGCAAGCAGTCACCACTGTTATCCCACAACAAATAGGACCCACTCCCTTCTGATAAGAATAGTAGTTGACTTTCCTTGTAGGAGACCCCAGAGAGGTCAGGCCTGCCCAAGGGTGACCAAGGTTAGGCCACCATCATGAATCTAGGGTCTGCCCTTCTTGTTACATGTATACCTCTAGTCCCTCCCATTCCTATGTGCACACCCCCAGCTCATCCCCTTCCTGTCACACTTATGCCTATCATACATCCCCTTCCTATGGTGTGTATGCCTATTGTACTGCCCCTGTGACATGTGGTTAACTGTAATCACGCCCCCCCGCCCCCTAAGTAATGATAACCCTTGGTTAGTAATAAGGTGGAGCTCTCCTGCTCTTCTCCTGGGCTCTCCCAACGAGGACCACCAAGTGAGGCTGAGGTGAGCATGCTACCATGGGTCTGCCTCCATGACTTCACGCTCTCTTCTGTCTCTCACGCTCTCCATGACTGCACTGTAATCTTTACTCAGTGTCACAGTACAAAACATTTTCCTTCTACTTGACCCCTTGGTACCAGCTTCTCATTTTCCTCCCTCCCTCCCCCACAAGAACCCTTGATAATTTACCAATTATTATTTTTTCATGTTTTACACTGACAGATGTCTCCCTTTACCCACTTTTCTATTGTCCACCCCCCTGGGAGGGAGTTATATCTAGATCCTTGTGATCGGTTACCCCTTTCTCCCCCCACCTTACTGGTATTGCTACTCTCATTATTGGTCCTGAGGGGTTTATCTGTCTGTCCAGATACCTGGTCAGTGTCCAAATTTCCAAAGTGGTACTTTTCCATTAGCCTGCCTTTGTTGTATATTTACATTTTCTTTTTGTGTTATAAACCACAGTCCCTGCTGTACTTAAACCATAGGGTTGGGATGAGGATCAAAGAAGACAGAGTCCATGTAAGTGCTTTGCACACCGGAAGCCCTGTGCAAATGGAAGTGTTACGATGAATGTGGTTAAGCATGTACTTTTTTTGGATGAAGTTGATTCTGCTGTGATTGGGTTGTCATATTGTTTGAGGTTTTTGAAATGTATGTGGACTTGTGAAATCTTGATACAGGTTAACTGGAAGTTATAGTCCATTTGCCTTTCTTTTTTAATGGACAATTTCCAACATAGATACAAGTAAAGAGAATGGTTATTTTAAGTCCTACAAATCGATTTATCCTAACCTGCTGTCATTGCGTTAATTCTGACTCACAGAGACGCTATAGAAGAAGGTAAGGAAAAAAACCAAAAACCGGACCAGTGACAATTTGAAAATGATGATGGCAACAAATGTGCTTGACACAATGGACAGATGGATGGATGGATTGTGATAAGAGTTGCATGAGCCCCCAATAAAATGATTTAAAAAAAGAAGAATGATCAATTTTTAGGCAATGTGAGGATGTTACCTTGTGGTTGTTTGTTTTTCCTTTTGTTTTAAGAGTCCTTATCCTTTAGCACAATCACTCCCTGTAGTCAAATCTAATTCAACGGATAGCAATGCTACAGGATGGAAGAGAACAGCCCTGGAGGGTCTCCAAGGTGGGGGGCTTTACCAGAGCAAGACCCACATCTCTTTCTCCCACAGCAGGCTGGGGAGTTCAAACACTCTTTCCTTTAGGGGCCCTGTGCCTGCAGGGCTCCTTCTTAGCCATTGGGGCTGTGTAACTGCAGGTGAATGGATAGGATGACTGGGAACCAATTCATAATAATCAGTGTGGAGTAGGTGGGAGTTTAGTTGAACCGAGATTGGCCAGGGGCTAACCATGTAGAAAGCAGCTGATAAGTAGAGTAGGGGGAGAAATAACACATTCATCGTAACACTTCCATTTGCACAGGGCTTCCGGTGTGCAAAGCACTTACATGGACTCTGTCTTCTTTGAGCCTCATCCCAACCCTATGGTTTAAGTACAGCAGGGACTGTGGTTGTTCTCATTTTGCAGGTGAAAGAAAGGAGGCAGAGAGAGGTCACATAACTTTCACAAAGTCACATGGTCAGTCAGCAGCAGAGCCAGGGCCAATGCCAGAGCCATCCGGAGTCCAAGGCCCCAAGGAGCTCTCTGCCATGTTACGTGGTGGCAAGGCTATGAAAGGGAGGTTTTCTTTGCCTGGCTCACATCTGGCTTTCTGTCACACTCCAGAAAGCAGTGACTGCCCTCAAGGGAGCATGTGATCCATAAAAGCACACAATGCAATGAGGAAGGAAGTTTTCTAGTAGGACACCGTCATTCTTGGATCTGGGCCTGGCCACAAGGATGGCTACTTGGGCCTGGCCGGCGGCGGCACACCCAATCCCAGGGCCACAGCTGCACTCACCATTGACAACTCTCTTGCATTTAAGCATCTTGAGGTCGATCAGCTCCTGGGGAGGAATCAGAGGGCACTAGTCAGAGCTGGGCACAGAGGAGACCTGCACTGCACACTCAGTGCAGTGGGACTGTCACCTTACTCCCTCATCTGGGTAAATACACACTCCAGATACTTCTGGGGCGACTCACACTGAATATCTGATGACCTCAGGGCCCAAGCAAAGAAACAAACAAATAACTATCAACAAACAGTTTGTACACATGGTTGATATCCAAGCCCCAAGAGCTAGCTAGCATGGAGTCCTAAGGGACAGGCAGGGCCCACTGCAGACCACCTGTTGCCGGTGGTCTTAGTTGCAGGGGCAGGTCAAAAGGCAGACGGATATTTAGAAGTGTGCATGCTGCTAACCAAGACACAGCCTTGGGCCACTGTTCACCTGCAGCAACAGTGGAAAGGGGGTCAAGAACAGAAAGAAGATATGGAATGCGCATCTAATTGCCTCTATGAATAGCTGCCTCCTTTGCAATGAGACCGGGAGACCTGGATGGTGCCTGGCTACAGTCACTGAACATTTTGAACAATGATTCCACAGGATAATCTTGATCACAAAAGGGAAAATGTAGCACAGAATTTTTAATTCTTCCAGGCTCTAGGCTTTCTGGCACCAAGGAGATTCCATGAATCACTGACACTAGTATCCTGAGATCATCTGTAAAGCTTACACAAAAAATGCCCTGCTGAAGTCCTCTTAAAACCAAACAGTAGGCTGGCAGAACTAGTAAAAGGAGTCTGCCTGTGCTCTTTCCAGAACTATCACCATCGGTCAAATTGACAACAGCACTGGGAAGACTGGACTGAAAGTCTGGAGGGCAGAGAATGTATGTCCATGGGGAGGAGCAACAGAAAGGGAGAGTGCGGATGTTACACCGTTCTGGAAAGATGCAACCAACACCGCTGAATTGGAGCCGTTGGAACTGGTGAGTTTTATTGTATACGATTGCAACACCAACAAAATTAGCATAATTTAAGGAGAGGGTGAAAAAGATAGATACCAAAAATAAGACCTTCTTACAGTTTTACCTCTCACTGAAATATAAGGCATCCCCTGAAAATAAGACCTCCCCGATAAGAAGGCCCCCTGATGCTACCATAACTCTGGACTCTGGACCATAGCGGCAGGTGCCACCGCACAGCTCACTGTTGGCTGCAGCGCAGCCAGAGCAGACAGGAAGTGTGAATATATATACCATAGATTATGAGTAAATGTACCACAGATTGTTGTACATGGAAATAATGGTCGTAACAAGAAATTCTTGATGCTGTAGGATTCAGTTTGTCTGGTTATGCTGGTTTGTGATGACAACTACTATCGTACCGAATACAGGTAATAAATTTCCTTTTTTGTTGTTCAACAATAAATGTGTACTGTATTCTTCTTCATGGAAAAATAAGATATCCCCTGAAAATAAGACCAAGCGCATCTTTGGGAGCAAAAATTAATATAAGACATTGTCTTATTTTCAGGGAAACAGGGTAGATAGGTAAAAGACTGCTCACTTATGGAAGAGCCTAAAATTAAAAATACTGACATCCTGAAATGCTAATGAGGATGGGGACCAATAGAAGCTCTTATTCATTGCTACAAGAAATACAAAAATGTACAATTAATTTGGAAGACAGTGTGGGAGCTCCTTACACACCAAGCTAATGAAGAGAGATGAAACTGCACAAAGGGGATCACAGCACCACCACCATGGACTGGCTGGGAGCTATTCTGGATGACCACAAGAGGCAACACTTATGCCTTCAGGGCAAGTGCCAGCCCTGTGAGGGCAGGCATCTTCCAGGGCTTCCAGAAGGGCTCCCAAGACATACTTCTCTGCAGAGACATAGCCTCTCGCGGCCTGGATAGCACCCATGTGGAGCTGGTTGTCAATTTTGATTTCCCCTTCACCCTGAAAGATTACATCCAGAGGGCAGGGAGGGTGGGCCGTGTGGGGAGCGGGGTGCCAGGCGTTGTCGTCAGCTTTGTAACGCATCCTTGGGATGTGAGTCTGGTCCAGAAAAGTGAACTGGCAGCTCGCCGGAGAAAGCTTCCGGGCCTAGTCTCTGGAGTAGGGAGCGGGGGCAGTTCTACTCTGTCCTATAAGGTCACTAGGAGTCAGAATCGACTTGATCGTGAGCTTGTTCTTGGTTTTTGAATACTAATTACACAATACCAATTTCCACAGGGGAAGAGTTTAGTGAACTCTGGGAAGGAAGAATCTGAGCCCAAACTACTTACAGGACAAGGGCTCGTTCAGTTAATGTTCTCATTTGTAACTAAGGTGGGGGCCTTTGGTTGTTCTGGCTTCCATGAAGAACTCACTGAAATTCCTAGAGGAGGCAAATGCATGGATACATTTACTTGTGGTTACCAGGGGGCAATGGGAGTTTTCCTGAAGGGGGACTGAGTGCTCTCTTTAGAGAGCATAAAATCACTGGAAAGAGAGAGTGCTGATGGTGACGACATGGGGAATGGAACTGACGTCATTGAAATGCACATTTAAAAATGGTGAAAATGGCAAATGTTACATTCTATCAATTCTATCTTAATACTTTAAAAAATGAACAAGAAGGGAGAGGGGACGATCTTGGCCACTCTTGGTGGGCTCTCTCTGGGCAGAAAATGACAGGCAGCTGCTGCAGTAGTGTGGCTCGCTGTCACTTTGCGTCCCAGGCTCTGCCTTTGCCCCGTCTTTCACTGACTGAGGAAGGAGGAGGAGGAGGATTAAAGTGTTTTGTGAAACCCACTGCCATCTTGGCGATTCTGCCTCATGGCGACTTTGACTGCGCGGCAAGTGAGTTGGTTTTGTTTTGGTGTTTTCAGTAGACCTCATGCAGGTGGTAGAACATGAGCGAGATCTCCCCACCATGTAACATGATGCCAGGTGCCAGTCTGAGCTCCAGCCAGGACCTCCACTTTGACTGCAGAGACACAACGGTCCCATTGTCACAAGATCCCCTCGGGTTACCCTTACATAGGCACTCTCACTACATAGCTCACGCCCCACCCCCAACCCCCACCCTCAGGCCATTTCCACTCCAGGGGATAGAAATATCAAAAAAACGTTGAGTGGAATCTTTTCAATTTCTCACAACCACGAGGGGAACTTACAGGATTGGGGGTTGGAAGTGAGAGAGGGCACCCAACTAATTCTAGTCCATTCCCAATTGAGAGCCACCATTCCCACTCACTACTCATCTCAGCGACTCCTGTGACTCTGTCTTTTCTAATGGACGCTTTTTAAACCTGGCTCTGAAACCCTGATGTTCTCTAGTGCAGAAGGCAAGTTTATCCCTGGCTCACTAGCTACCAGCTACCACCACCAGAAACTCCCACGGCTACCTCAGTCAACTTCACCGGGCTGAGTTCATTCATTCAAGCACTGAGTATATAGGAACTTGAGCAGAGAGCCAGTGCAATGACCCGATGCCACCACGTGCATTCACCCACGGAGTTGCGGGATGCCTCTGCTCTCCTCAGGCTCCTAGCCCCTATCAGGTGTGGTGCAGTGAATTACTAAGTACAGGCTTTTTAGACATGCACAACCTGGGAACGAGCACATATTGACTGAGTGGGATTATGCAAGTAAGGTATACAGAACCCTAACAAGAGATTGGTCAGTGTTGTCATCCTGGTAGGCTTAAAGAGAGCCGATTTCAGAAGCAAGAGGGGAACCTGACTACCATCAAAAAAGATAGCTGAGAGGAGGCAGAATCTGTTGGATCCAGGGTCCCTGTGCTAAGGACCTCCTAGACCCAGGAGACAGAGACAGCTGTCAACAATGGGAAAAGTTTGAGACAGAAGCAGTAGCAGAGAAATAGCAGAAACAAAACCAAGAGATGGGCATGAGATAACAGAACAGGGTTCCTGGGTGCATAGTGAGAGCTGAGCACCTGAGAGCATCAGGGCAGGAAGCTTCTGGGCAGAGTCGGGAGGCTCCAGGCACTTATTGGAAGAGCTGAAGAGCTCTGTAACACTTGACTGAGCAGGGCCATGGCCAGGCCAAGGGGCTGAGATGAGCCTTGCACAGAGAAGAGGAAGCCTCTTGCACTGAAGAAGGGAGACTGCTCACATGCTTCCTGAAGTTGGTGCCAAGCTGAAGCCTACTCCTCCTGATCCTGAGTTAAAACATGTTACTCCCAGAGATAGTTAAATTTATTGTGCCAACCTGGCCGATAAACACATGGGGTTACTTGAAGGGTCTCTTGCTTTCTGATGGTCAGATTAGAGTGCAGCTGCCTTAGGGTGCAGCTGCCTTAGCTTCAGCTTGCAAGGCTCACTTCCTGCGAGACATCCCTGAGGAGAAGCCACATGGACCTACCCTGATGCAGCCCTAGGTGCTAGAGCAGCTGTGTGGAGACCCCTGCCAGTGCTAAGATGTTTACACATTCACTGATTCAGCTTTCCTCCTGCAGTCAGCATCACTGCATGTGTTTTGTGAGATGGAGGAGGACTTTGTACATCGGTGTCAGACATATGCGCTAATGTTGGACTTATGGGCTTGGGCAGCACTGGGTTGGGATGCTTTCTTAATCTACACTTACCCTTTATATAAAACTCTTATACATATGAGTTTCTGTGGATTTGTTTCTCTAATGTACCCAGACTAACATATTCCCTAATGAACTGAGATATATGTGGCCATGGAAATGAGTCTCCCACCCTAGTGGAGGAGAGCTGTGGGAGGGACGGCTGATGTCAGAACCAGGAAAAGGCTGGTGGGTAGAGGTTGAACTTAACCTCACCAGGGTTGATGGTGGGCTGATGGGGATTCCTCCTTCTCAAGTTAGAGGTCATTCTCTGACAACCCTGTGCCATCTTACAAGTTGACTCACAGAACTCCTGCAAGGAGGGCTCCTCTTGCTTTCCATTGGCACGTCCTGCATCCCCACCCCCGCCCAACTCCTGCCCACACCCACACACAAAGGAGGAGGCTGTCCTTGGGAAAACTGCCCAGGAAACTTGGGAGCCCCTTACCTCACAGTAAACGATATCTGCTCCATAATCCAGGGCGAGCAGCCGCATTGGAAGCGTCCCTACCCGAACCATGGGGGCCAAGACGAGCTTGTTGTGGTAGCACAGAGAGAGGCTGTTCACAAGCATGCCTCCTCTGCGACAGCCTGAGGAAGGGAACACAAGGGTTAGAAGCCCACCCGAGCGAGGCTCCCATTCAGCAGTTCCCATAGCTACAACTCAGTGACACGGGCTATTCTCCTTCTGGGTTATACAACCGTCCCCACTGGCCTTTTCCAAATTGCTCTTCCCTCTTCAACACAAATTCACTGCCCACAAGAGTTCCTATCTAATCCTGGTTTGAAGTTTTCAAAATTAGCACACCACCCCGGGTTCATCCGTCCTCCACGGCTCCAGGAAAGAATTTAAAGTTCTGTTCTGCGGTTCTCCTTTGTGATTTGGGCTCTTCCAAGTCGTCTGTGATCAAAGTGTTCAATCATGGTAGCTGAGCACCCTCCAATTCTTCTAGTCTCAGGACCAAGGAGGCAGTTGTTCATGCAGGCAACGAGCCACACATCTGGTCTCTCCCTACAGCTGATGCCCCTCCTTCCATTGTCCCCAGTAATTAGAGACAAATTGCTGAGCCGTGGCTAATACTTACAAGCCTTTAAAACCCCATGCAATGAACTAAAAAAAAAAACACCCCCAAATTCATTGCCATTGATGGAGTTGATTCTGATTCATAGTGACCCTATAGCATAGGGTAGAACTGCCCTTGTGAGTTTCAGAGGCTGAACGAAAGCCCCATCTTTCTCCCAAGAAGCAACCAGTGGTTTTGAACTGCTGACCTTGCAATTAGCAGCCCAACAAGTAATCAATAGGCCACCAGGGCTCCTGTGCAATGATATAGGTGGGAGGGGGGGAGCACTAAATGAGTTATTAGGTCAATGACCAGGGCTGTCCATGAAACCATACCCTAAATCTCCAAGTCAAGAAACCAAATTGCATCAATGTTTAGTGATCTGTAAGCAGGCTAGGCAGCTCCTAATTTTATTATTGTTATTGTTATAACTTTTGCCAATTCAACTTTTTAACTATGACACTAATTTCAATAATTGGCTGTGCAACCCTACCCTTAATTCATGAGACTTTTCCATCACCTTTAACTCCCCTTTTCTCCTTTTATCTGTCCCTGGTAATCACTAACAGGTCACTATTCATTTGCCGGTTTTTGGGTTTTTTTGGATGAATGGTGTGAAGCTTTATAGAGCAGATCAGCAGTTTCACATTCAACAATTCAAACATACCTTGTTTCACCTCACTGACCACACAACCTTATGCCACTCACTCCATGGATTCTGTTTCTCAGCCTTTTTCTTTCCTAACCCTACTCAACTTCGCCCTGGGGTAAATGCAGCTTTTTGATCTCGCACAGTCAGCTATTCTGAGGTGCAGACACCTCAGTTTGTTGCTGTGTCCCTTGTGCACACTCGCTATCCCCACTTGGAGTGACCGTCTCAGACAGAGGATAACCACCCCGGTGGGTTTCTGAAGCTGCAAATCTTCACTGAAGAAAGCCTTCTATGGAGTGGCTGGTGGGTTTGAACTGGCAACATAGCGGTTAGTGGCCCACTTAACCCACTATACCAAAAGGTCTCCTTTGTTCCCCTTATAAGCCTATCTATTGATTAGCTGGAAATGGAGCCATGGGGTGAGTTCAGTCCCAGGCCTAAAGAGTGATAAGGGTCACAGTGGCAAGGATCCCACCAGGCTGTATCCAACCTCCAGTAAACGTGGTCTATTTTATGACTTTCAGTTTTCTTCAATAGTTATCCTACCTCCCACTTTAAACATGTGAGTAAAAGCTCAAAAAGGCATATTTCACTTCTATGAAAAAAACGGGTGATATAATCATATCAAAGTAACGATCCTGGTCTCTGTAATCAGGACAGGCCTGCATTTGAAGCCCAGCTCTGCCCGCTGGGCAGATGAATCCAGCCAACCCTGAGCTTCTCCCTCTGTGATATGAGGCTCCACCAGAATCTAGGCAGGGGTCCTCAAACTAAGGCCCGCAGGCCACATGCGGCCTGCCGAGGACATTTATCCGGACCGCCAGGTGTTTTTGCCCCGTTTGTTTTTTTACTTCAAAATAAGTTATGTGCAGCGTGCATAGGAGTTTGTTCAGAGTTTTTTAGACTATAGTCCAGCCCTCCAACGGGTCTGAGGGACAGTGAACTAGCCCCCTGTTTAAAAAGTTTGTTGGGTTTTTTTAGACTATAGTCCGGCCCTCCAACGGGTCCGAGGGACAGTGAACTGGCCCCCTGTTTAAAAAGTTTGAGGACCCCTGCTGTAAGGAATAAACCTGAGGGTGCAAGTAAAGACTTTGTACAACAGTGTATCAACCTCAGTAGGAGAAGAATAAGCATTAGCAGATAAACACCAGTAGCCGGGCTTTTCCACCTTCTACATGCTCTCAGTCTACTGCAATACCAACACACGTCTGTGAGCTCTTTCACTGCCAAGGCCGAGGGCAAGGTGTCCAAGGCAAAGCTACAGAAACTGCTATGCTCTCAACTTCAAAGAGCTTTTTGGGCTCCGCCGCTGCCATCCTCTCTCCACAGAACCTTGGCAATAACCTCTCAACTAGTCTTTCTCCTTCTAGGCTCATCTCTTGCAGGCCATGCTCCTTCCAAAACTCAGAGGGAACCTTCAAACCCAAACTAGAACGTGGCATTTACATCCTTAGAAGCCTTCCCCACTGCCCCTCGAAGTCCATATCCCCTAACATCCCTAATAGGGTCTGGCCTCGCCTTCCCTAAAAGCCTCATCTGACATCACTTGCTGCCTGCCTTTTAAGCCCACCCCCACCTCCACTCCTCTACGATTTAGCCAATCTGAAGGAGTTATAGTTTCCCCCAAATTAGCCTGATCTCCAGTCTAAATCACCTGCTCCTGCCTAGAAACCACATCTCTACTCCTAGGCCTGGCTGACTCCTACTTGCTTTTAGGGACTCGGTACACACGTCACCTCCTCCAAGAAGCCTTCCTCAATCTACCTTTCCCAAACACCAGGGAGGGCTCCTCCTCCAAGCTCCTCCTCTCCTGGCACAGAACATACTCGTGTATCCAGCCATCTGTCGGTCTCTTCCACTGGAGGGGAGGACCAGCACTGGGTCTTGCTCATCACCACAGCGTACACAGTCTGGCATAAGCTAGGAGCTCAGCGCATGTTGAAAGAAAGAGGAACAGAGCAGGAGCACATACACCAGTGGTTCTCAACCTCCCTAAGGCCGCAACCCTTTCATACAGTTCCTCATGTGGTGGTGACCCCCAAACATAACATTATTTTCGTTGCTATTTCATCACTGTCATTTTGCTACTGTTATGAATCACCGGACGGGCGACCCCTAAGGGTCATTTGCCCCCCAAAGAGGTCTCGACCCACAGGTTGATAACTGCTGACATCCATGGACATCCATGTTCATTGCAGCACGCTTCACAACAGCAAGAACATGGAAACATCAGTGGCCACCGGTGAAAGAAGGGCAAAAGATATTTTGGTACAGACACACAGTGGTCCATGCACACTGGGAAATGGTGTAGAATAATACACTGTGGAACACCTCACGTTATGGATGGGTTTGGAGGGCAACAGGCTGAGTGCAGTGAGTCGATCACAAAAGGGCAGGTACTGAAGGAGACCACTGCTATAAAATAAAATTTAAAAATAAATGTAGTTAATTAATTTACATTAATTTAGTTATATTTTAAAATGTTAAGTCAAGAAAAAGTTTTCCTGCAGAAAGAAATACACTTTGAAGTGACTGGGAAGTAAAAGGCTAGAAGGAGGACTTGGATGAAGGGTAAGATCAGACCTCACAAGACGGAGGCAGACCAAACCCAGGACACATGGCAGAGCACAGGGGGCTTGGTAAGTTGCTGATTGCAAACACGATGATCTGACTGGTAAGCCCCCCTAATTCACAATCAAAAATGTTTCCAAATAAAAGACAGAAAAGGGGCAAATGGCCACGAGAGCTACAGTCCGGGTCATACTTCAGCCACCTAGGAACTCGGTCGCAGGCACAGGGCAATGACATGACCCTACCCTGGGTTCGCTTAGACAGCTGATGAATTAGCACTCAACTGCCCTGCTTACCTAGTGGAGGGCTACAAGCCCCAGGTCCAACTTGCATGGGAGCCATCGCTTGAGTGAATGAGATGTAGAACAGGCGGCAGCAGTGGCCAAAGTGGGGGCCAGATTCTGGACAATGATTAGCAGGTCATCTGCGGGCAGTGGGGATCCGTGGATAGTTTTTTAGTCAAGAGGTGGTACAGCCGGGACGGTGCGATAGGAACATCCCTCGGGCAGCAGACAACAGACTGGGGAGTGAGAGGCAAGGAGGCAGGGAGCCAAGATAGAAAGATGGGGAAAGGGCTGAGGCCAACAATGACAAAGGCTGAGCGCAGGTTGACGACAGGAGACAGCTGACTGTTGCAAATGAGAAGGGCCAGGGCTGGACCACAGTCCTGTTGCAAGTAGGAAAACAGAGCATCATGAAGGACCACTCATGACCACCTTTCATTTCTGCAAAGTCCTACAATTTCCAAAGGGCTTCATTTAGAACGGAGGTTGTGGTGGTGAGATTTGGGGAAATCTGTGTGGATGCGTCGATACCAGTGATGCCTCCTTTGGGGTGTGGCCTTTTCATAAGAGTAACAGGGAGAATCTCTCTTTCTCTCTCTCTTGCCCGTTGCCTTACTTGGATTTGGTGTCTCTTTCCAGGGTGTCTCTCTCCTGGGGGCCATCATTCAAGGGAACAAGTGGAGCCCCACCATGCTCCCAAAGATGTTGGATCCATGGGCCTTTTTGCTCAGTAGCCTGTGATTCATTGCTTCCTGCTTCACCTACTGAGTCATTGGCCTGTAGCTACTCGAGTCAGACGAGGGCTCCAGCTAGAATCAGGCCCAGGGACTAGAGCTGGACTGAGGCGGGATGCCTTCTTGACATATAAAGTTCTTTATAATACGTATCGACGTGTCACTGGTTTTTGCTTCCTCAGACAACCTGCTGATACACTTACGTCAGTAATAACGGTGGTCAGAAGGAAAAGAGCTATTTTCTTGTGCTTTCAGTACCATCTGATGGAGTGGTGGGAAGAATCCTGGGGCCGCGGGTAGGCTCAGGCAGGTGCCAACCTCTAAATGATTCGCAGGTCCTCACATTGTAAGGACGCAAGTACAAGGAGAAAGTGGCCCTAAACGACCACCCCACCCCACATACTTGGACAAAAACCAGTGCAAAATACATACCTCTGTCTTATTCTTTTCTGAGAATGCCGTCACTATCTCCGTGCAGGCTTGATGCAAAGAAATTCTTTGTTTTCCAGCTGAACCGCAGGAGTCGCTGGATGAAAACTGATGAAGCCAGCCTGTCAGGTCAGACATCCAAGCAGTCCTTTAGTTTAGGAACATGGAGACCTGAATTCTTAGAATCATAAAATAACAAACCTTAGCGACGGGGTATCCTTTAGACCAACTGCAGTCAGTCATATCACCAGCCAGTGGCCATCAGCCTGTTCAGGAACCTTTCAGGGGCTCTGACAGCTCTAGGCAATGGCTCCCCACTTCACAGGTGAACTCTACCTTCCTGACGTTTGTAAGGCAGCAGGCTTGACTACTCATTCAGTCCACCAATAAAAATTTTCATTCGCCATCAGGAGGAAATCCCTAGAGAAATCACTGTCGCAACTTTGAAGTGCTGGGGGAGAGGGGCACCCCGTCACAGGGACGTGCGGGCAGTCAGGGAAGCACGGGCCCCAGACAGCCAGAAGCCCCCCCAGCCACGGGCCCTACTTCCATTGCGCACTCTGCCCCAAGGGCCCCCGAACTGGGAGGTCGCCACCCGGGATGGCACAAGACACACCTCGTCGCGACTGAACTCCGCCAGGACCGTCCCTTCCCACAGCGCGCCAGCCTCTCGCGCCTCGCTGTGCGAGCCACCGTACGTCACGCCGCGGCGCGCGTGACGTCATCCGCGCGCGCCGCTCCCTCCCCGAGAGCTCCGGCGCGCCGCGAGCTGCTCTTTCGACGCCGCCGGTCGAGTTGCTCTTGAGCTCCAACTGATGCTCCGCGCGCCCCAGGCGACGGTGCCGGTGGTGCGCATCCCCCGGGCTCTAAACGGCGACGGGAGCAGCGGCAGAGCCCTCCGTTACCTGGTCCGTTACAGGTGTGGGCTCAGCTACCGGAGTGGAGCCAACGGACGCACCTCCCGCGGCGCTGTGGGGACCGCGCTGCGAAACCGCTCGTCTAAGGACCGCTTCGTAAACCCGGGCCGCCAGCTTCCCGTGCTGCGCGCACTGCCGGAGCCTGCGCCCGAAGGCCTTCGACCCAGCCCGCTGTTACGTCGTGGCACCCACATCTTTTGCACGGCGGCAACTGGCAGTTGCCCAGCTACCGCCTCTCGCACTTGGCCCGCCGCAGCCTCCACTCTGGCCTCATCCCTGCTCCCTGGGGCCAATCCTCGTGCCTTCCCGAAAATTGGCGGAGCTGGTGTAAGCCGTGGCCTCGCCATTGGGCAGCACCCTGGGCCTGCAGGTCCGGGAATTGGGGCTGGCGGTGGCGCGGAACATGGCATTAGAGCCCAGCGGACTTAAAAGATGCCTTCAACCCCAAAGCTCAGCTGATGCTGGTGGGAGCCACTTTTCCTGAAGGGACAGGCCAGACGCCATCACCACCAGCTCCAGGCTCCACTGTATCATGCCTCAGGTCAGACAGACATTTATGAGACTCAAGGGAGCAGAGAAGGTGACTGAGTTAGTGCAGATCCTCAAGCAACATGACAAAGCCACTCAGGCCCTTCCGGAGCTGTCCTGGTGTCCAGTAATAGCTCCACCACTGTGAACTGGCTGGGATATATTCTGGATGACCACAATATCCTGCACTTAACGGCTGCAGGGACAAATGCCAACCTCCCTGAGTGCAGGCATCTTCCGATGCTTCCAGAAGGGCTCCCAAGACATACTTCTCTGCACAGACATAGCCTCTCGCGGCCTGGATAGCACCCATGTAGAACTGGTTGTCAATTATGATTTTCCCCCTCTTGTTGTAAGACTACATGCACAGGGCAGGGAGGGTGGGCCGGGGTTTTTAACACATCCATGGGAATGTGAGTTTGGTCCAGAAAGTTGAGCTGGTGGCTCGCCAGAAGTCTTCCAGGAGTTTCTCCCGAGCAAGCCTGATGGAAGCTAAGGGTCTCCCTGTGTCCTGGGTGGGTGAGCTCACTTGTCAGTGGGAGATGCTGGCTTGCGCTGTCAGCTTCCTGAGGCCTGTTGAGCTGCTGTCTGCCCAGCAGGACACGCAGCTGCTGGTACGATTGTAGGAGGAGCCACAGAGCCTGGCTGTTTGTGGTCTCACGTATCAGGTGAAGAATGATGTGAAATTTGGCATTGCGTAATATGAGGAATAACATGAGTCTCTCACGAGTTACCCAATACCAGTTACCATGAGGGCAGAACTTTGGGAAGGTAGCACAGCATGTGTACCCCTAGGCCTGGCATCTATCAAGAGAGATTTTGTACACCCTCACCAGGCTGCCCCCATCCCTTTTGGGTTTGCCCACTCCGACTTAAAACTTCTCCAAAAGTAGTAACAACATTCTGGGATACCTTCAGGGGCCCCCAGTTACCTTCTTACTACTGACAGTGAGACATCATTCCTGGGAAAGTTAGGCTTTCGTCTTTATCAAGCTACTTTCCCCCGGTGGGCTGCAAAATGTCTCTATTAACACCCTTTCCTGATTGGCCTCACAGGCAAAGCTGAGGACATTTTTGTTGGCAAGGACACAGAGCCATTTGAGGAAAAGATTGAGGGGGCCTGGCCACAAGCATTTTGGGGTGGTACTGTCATTCCCTGGGAATGGAGACTCGATTTCCAATTCGGCCATTGCCACAGGCTGCCCCAGGAGCTCTATGATAGCCAGGATCCCCGAGAGGTAGTGGGCCCAGACCTTTCAATGTCAGGTGCTTCAGAGGGCTTCATCCAGAAATGGAAGACTTGTCAATCATCTGAGTGCAAACTACTGGTCTGCTTTTTTCCTGGCATCGGTGGTTCCCACTTATCTTCCTATACCGTGTCACTATGTGTCACTACCATGTCGTTTACCAAGGGCATAGAGAAACCCCAGTAGGCTGGCATGGGGAGACATACTGCCTGGTTGCCAGCTACCAGTGCTATGGAGATGCACCTGTGGCCACCCCATTAAAAGTGGAAGCAGAGAAGCCAACTCCCAGCCTGGCTCTGGAGAGACACCTACTTCCATCCAAATCAGACAGATTCCAGCTGTCTCTTAAAATTTAGCATTCACAGCCAAATGACAGGAGGCTAGCCATCTCCCAAACTCTTGTTGGCTTCCCAGCGTTTGTGGAATTCCCAGGGAGGGGGGTGGAGGAGCCTGCAGCTCATCTCAATAGTAGGCAGCTTGAGCTCTCAAGGGACACTACCTCCAACAAAATTACAGAAGTGAGCACCACCCCAAAATTCGATGCTAGCAGTCTACTGGCAGGCGGCCGACCCTCACAAAACCTCCCTGCCTTAACCGCACTGAAGCATTCTTCCAGGACTGCCACTCCCCACAACAGGAGGTGAAAGAGCCATTCTCCCTTAGCCTTCCCTAGCTGGGAACATCCCATAGGAGGCCCAAGGAGACCTGGAGCAGGGAGAGCCTGGACAGCTGAGCCGCCCTCCCCAAAGCTGAGGTGCTCCTGAACCACAGCCATTATCCAGCCCAGTAAAATGGTTTTACTGTATTTGAAATCTAGCCTCTAAGGCCAGGCACCAGAGCTCCCTGTTCCTTGCACATCTCCTTATGGGGGCCCTCCAAGAAGGGTCTTTGGGTCCAGCTTATAAAGCCGTAGCTTCCTCACTGATGTCTGTGCAAAACAGGGCAGAACACAGATTCCGTAGAAAAGGAGAGCCTGGTTTAGTGTGTGTCTTTGTGAATCTAAATAAAAGGACAAAACTGGTTTTTAATCATTTTATTAGGGGCTCATACAACTCATCACAATCCGTACATTATTTGTGTCTAGCACATTAGTACATATTAGTACATTAGTACATATTAGTACATATGTTGACTTCATGTGTTCCTTGCTCAATCCCCGATTCCCCCCCCCACCCTTCGTCCCTGATAAACCATTGCATCGGTTATTGTCCCTGTGCGTCCTCTGTGCCTCATAAACTGGGAACCCTAACACAATTTTAAAAAGACCAAGAATATTTAAAAAGCCAAAAAATTTCTGTTGTGGAACAAGAGAGAAATAATTGAGCTAGAGCAAATTCAGGTTAGGACAAGAGGGAGGGCAACTGACCAAGTAGCGTATTACACTATGGTTCAATCTGCCATAATCAAGTTTCCAATAATCTCTCGTAGTAAAGCTGTGAGTCCCTTGCCTGTGACTACAGGGTATCTGTCAGAGGTTCAATCTGACTAGAGAGTCTGCAGATGAATTTTGAGCTCCCACTGTCTTCCATTTGCCTGTTACAAATTGGGTGTCATCATCCCTTTTTTTGAAAAAAATTTATTGAAAACCTTCCACACAGAGGAACCAACTCAATGGTAGTGGGTTTGGTTGTTGATTATTCCATACCAGCCCCCGTGAACTCCCCGAAAGTCACCAACAAACTAAGGGAAGAAACAGAGGACAGGTCAGGAAGACAGTTCCATCATGATGGTGGCTCTAGAGAACCAAACAGGCAAAGAGCAGTGAAGAGAGGAGCTACACACACAAAACACAAGACGAGGAGGCGATCTTTCACTAAGACAGAAACCATGAGAAGAGCTGTGGTGGGGTAAGATACAAAAGGGACCCCAAATCTCAAATACCATTTAAGAACACTGGTTACGGAGATTGTTTTTTCTTTTAAACAGTTTTATTGGGATATAATCCATGTATCATATAACTCAAGAGTTCAATCATATCAAGAAGAGCTGTACAATCATTACCACAATCAATTTTAGAACATTTTCTTCATTATTAGCTCCCCAATTCCCCCCAACCTCCCCTGCCATACCTTAAGAAACTTAATCCAGTTATAGTCCCTAGAGTCACCCACCGTCAATTTCATAGACTAAAATGCATCCCCCCCAAAAGCTTAACAACAATAGAATGGAGACAGACTTCAATTGAAAAGCAGAAATATTAAAAACTAGAACTTTACAATGGGTCCAAAAGGAGATCAAATAATGTGTTAAAATTTAACCTAACTGTGCCACTTTCAAATGCACTCTGCAGGATAGCAAGGCTATTCAACATCCCCAGTCGATGGTCAGAGAGGGTTCACCTGAGGCTTCTTAAGCCTAAACAGGACAAGGACATCACCCAGTTGAGAGAGACCATTACACGAGTCGTTGGCAAAGTCTCTGAGGCTCCGTGCAAATGTAGAGGGAGGCGCGCTTGATTCTGCCATTTCCCTTCTGAGGCTCCCGTGAGCAGCTTTGGAATCTTGTTTCAACTGTGCCACTTTGTTTTAAAGGGTACGAGAGATACCAAATCTCAAGTACAGTTTAAGGAGAACGTCTGTTAAGTTTTTAACACGACAACCACATCTAGTTGAGGGAGAATGGCAAGAGGTCATTATGGCATTCAAGGGTTTGCTGATAGTTTTTAAAAGGAGGTGGGAGACTGTCACAAAAACATGATTGCTGGTAGATCAATATATCAGTTTCAAATTGCGTTAAGGAAGTGGGAACAGAACCATGATTGGGACACATACATTATGATGTTAAGAGACAAGCGCTTGCAAAATGGGTCCAGGGCCTTCCTACCAAAGCAGTCAGGCCACTACTGCTAGGG